GTCTTTTTTTGTTTTCTACCCACCTTTACCTCCGTGACGGTGAGATATCGTGATGTTCTTACTGGGCTAGTGTAGCTCACTCCTTATTTAACCATTTCAGATCAGGAAGACATGGTTCCCGAGCCCGTTCCGCAGGAGGACGACGAAGGGGATGCCTAGAGACTCTATAGTCATGCTCATAGCTTTGTTTTCGAGTTTCTCTTTTAGTTAGTTTAACCTTTTTTATAATTTAAGTACGTTTTTGGTTTTTCGTGTAAGGGATGTTAACTGAAATTTTGATCTCGCTTCCGCATTTGATATATTTAAATACTCATTTCATTTTAATATTTCCGGGGCCGCTACAGTTGTGTTCAAAAAATACTTTACCCAATATTAACTAGAGTTAATTGATCACCCCCCAAAAAAAATGTTTATGAAATTAAACTTTAGATATGTTTTTGGTAATTACAAATTTACACTTAAACCAAGTTGGAATTATGAACTAGTCTACCCGTAATTGAAGGTGGGAAATAAAGTTGGTTAAATTTTTATTTAATTACTAAATTTAAAAGTAAAAAAATCATATAAATTTTTACACTTGAATAGTAAGAATTAGAAATTCTCAAATAATTATTTCCTTAAAAAATTGATTATATGATAGGAGAAATTGGTTAATTGTTGAACCAATTTAAAATAATTTAATAATCGAATAAATAAAAAGAGGTGAATGACAATTAAACCTAATTATATGTTTTGAGTTGAGGATATAATTTCTTCAGTTTGCAAACAAGTAATCAGAGCCGTAGATCCTTCAAATTATTGGTTAAACTACAGCCATAGATCTTATTGACTACTTTGTTGTTGACCACAAAGAATCTTGATGTACATCAGAGTTGAGACAATCAAATTGATCAGTTGGGTCATCATGTGTCTCACATGCATCCAGTACCATAATATATTATTACGTTCTCCTTTTTTTGGGGGGAATAATTAATATAATTAATCACCTTAAGAAATTAATTATTCGTTAGTTGCTTATTCTCTGAATTCTAATTTTTTAAATTAACATATCATATTTCTAATCAATTAAAATTTTTAATTTTAATAACATTGTAAATTCATATCCTCACTTATTAAAGATAAAATTTATAAAAAAATATATAATTTAAATTATACATTCTCATTTCTGTTTCATTAAATTAAATTCAAACAAATAATAAAAAAAAAACTAATCAATTATCTAGAAGTCAAAAGCATTAAATTCCTTACTAGATGATTGGTGCATTACAATATATATGTGTATGTGCGTATATATATATATATATATATATATATATAATGTGATGAAGAAGAATCTTGATACTGAAGGGGAAAAAAGAAAAGAATAATAAGAACATGAGAATAAGCTAATAATTTTATGGGAAAGCTATGAAACATCATCAACCAAGAAACTGGTCTCCTTATATTTGTACAAAACACTCTTTTATTATTGCCTTCATTCTGTTCTCTAAATAATTCACCAGGTCACACTTTTAAATTATGAAATGGAACTAAAGAAAAAGGATACAAATTCAATTGAAATCTTGTCAACCCGGGTTACTTCTAAGTAAACTGATACAGAGCAGGTTTCATAGTTCGATTTGTAAATTTAGATCTGATTCATCTCCAATTAGATATGTTAAAAAATTCACTCCGACCCAATTCAGAATAGGTTAAAAATCGGAAGAGATTCAACAAATTAGTGAATTTAATGGGTTATAGTTAATTGTTTGTCATACCTAACTTTATATATGGATAAACTGAGTAATAATAATTTAAATAAGTAAAATAATGAGGGATTAGAAAAATTATTGTTGAAAGAAGAAAACATAAACAAACAAACAAGGGATGAATATTCCTACAAGTGAGGAACACTGGACCCACTAAGCCGGTTCTTATCATCGCTAATTTGCTAATTAAATAAATAATAATCCCAATTAATTATAAGATTTTTTTTAATTTTTAAAACATTTCAAATAAAATTATATTTTAATATTTAAAATTACAAGTTTGAATTTATTATAATATTTTATAAAATTAATTTAAAAAAATACTGAATGATTTTTATATATAAAAGTAAGATTATGATTTAGATCTAAACGAGTCGTAATTACTAATTAGGCGGTACACGAACCTAATCAATTCACAAACAGTGGGGTCCTCAATCTGATAGCTTATGATCGGTAGTTAACACGCACGAGAGCCCACCGTTGTTTGCAACGCGGAAACAGCTGACCGTTTGTCACTCAAACATACGACGTGTGATCGTGGTCGTTCACTCTTACCATACACCGCCGACACACCATAACACTTAACTCCGTTTCCTTGAATTAGGCAAACATATTATGATTTTTATTATTTATTAATTAAACAAAAATAATATAATACAGAATTAAAATTACTTTCTTTTTTTTCCTAATTAAAATCCAAAGCATGTTAAACTCAATCGCAGTACAATATATATATGTATATATATAGAATAAAACCCTATATTATATATTATACGTAATAGTATAATATACCATTAATTTCCCAAAAAAATAATGAATTTGAATCAAACAAAATAATAGTATATAAATATACAAATGGAAGTAACAGAGAGAAGTAACTTTGAATCTTTTTTATCCCTCCATAATTTTCACAAAGGAGAAAAATAAAATCCTTTTTTTTTTTTTTCTCCATACAAAATGTATAATTCTAAATTTAACTTTTATATAATTATATATATGAGCTCATAATTTCCAAAAAGAACAAAAAAGTTTCTGTGCCCAAGATATACGGTATAAGACCGTATATATACCTATATACCGAACAGGCAAGAAGCAAAATTCAAAATATAAATTTAAAACTTCACGTGGCAACTTCTGATTCGGCCACGTAGGTTAGTCTGTCGACCTCCTCCCATACCAATTTGGACGTTATCTCATCGTACTCCGGCACATAATCCTGATTATTTTTTTTTTAAAAAAAAAGAAATAATATTTTAATAAAATTATAAATAATTATAAAATTTTAAATGTAATTTGAGAAATTAAAAATAATATATATATTACCTCGAGTAGTCTGACCAATTGTTTGGCTGTAGGGGCAGAAACGATAATTCCACGAGCAGTTGGGGAGATAAAGCCTTCATCAACGGCCTTATCGATAAAAGACAATAAGGAGTTGTAGTAACCATCAACATTCAGAAGACCCACCTGTGAAAATTCCATATTTTTAATTATAATTTATTTAATCAAAACAGCGTCGTTTTGACCGACTAAATTATAACTATAATTATAATTATGAATTTGATTTCGTTACTCCCATTCAAACGGAGATATATACATATACTAATAGTTGTAAGTAATTAATTCTCTAAAAATCAAGTTTGACGTCCATGATTGGATTATCAGATCTTAAGCTATCTTTCCATGTGAATACGATTGGGTAAACCACATGGATTGATTCTATGCTATCCTCATTTTTCTTTCTTATACTTACAAAATTTTGATAGCCAAGCCATACAAATATATATATATATATATACCCAGAAATATATGATACCTATATATACATACAGTATATAGAATATACAATCACAAGAATTCCATATCGTCATGTGATCATGCATGGTTCCATTAAACATTATACACAGAGTCGTTAATCTTAGAAACATATAAAATAATCCCAGTTGTTTCCGGTCGTCCAAACAAGTAATTGATGATTTCTCGTTTAATGAAGAGACTATATTATATATAATTAATATACATGTAATTTTTTAATTAAAAATTATAATTTAATTAAGGCATATATAATTAGAAGAGAGTGAAAGAAATGGCTCACAGGTTTGCGGTGGATTCCAAGCTGAGCCCATGTAATAACCTCAAGCAATTCTTCAAGAGTGCCATACCCACCTGGAAATAGCAATAAATAACTACATGTGATTCTTTTAGAATACATATATATACATATATATATATATATTGAAATTTAACTACATATTATATAATGTTTATGGATAGAAAATGATGATAGGTATACCAGGAAGAGCAATAAAGGCATCAGCTTGCCGGGCCATTTCTGCTTTTCTTTGATGCATATCAGACACAGCTCTAACTTCTCCAACTGTCTTTCCAGTTATCTGCATCAATACATACATATTAATATATATATATATATATATAAAAGACAATTCCCAGTTTATCAAATTCCATACATATAGATACCATCTTTAAAGCAAATTAATTAAGCAATAATAGATTACAAGATCACAAGAACTTTTTCTCCAACAAAATGGGTCAGTAGCCATTAATCTAAAAATTTCAAAAAGGTGTTTGATCCACTCTCTGCACATATTATATATATATATATATATATATATATATATATAAAGAAATGCAGTAGTGAAGAACAGATACAGGCTTTTACTTCCCTTTTTTCCCTTTCCTTTTTCATTTGCTTTTTATTGATCTTTTTGGGTAGTAGTGAAATTGGATTGAAGAAGTAAGATAAATCTTTTTAGGCCAATGTAAAGGGAAACTGAAGCAAGATTCAGCCCCACAGAGAGTCCCATCCTTGATTATAATAGAGTCCAGTAACCCAAAAACACTAAGGCATTGTTGGCAACCATAAACATATATATATATATAAATATATACTGTTCCATGACATTCAAAAAGTGAGCCAACATGAATATATATATATATATGTGTGCATATATACTGTTGTGAGTGATAGATTTTGTCCCACTACTGCAAAACAAAAGAGTAATGTTTCCAAATTTTTCTTAAGGGATTTTTGGATATACCTCTCTTGGCATTAGGGTCTTTGGAATCACCCTGCAAGAAATCCAACAAACATATATAAACATTTCATAAATCACTCCAATAACAATAATCTTTTAATTCTTAGCTACTAAACAAATTAAGAAAGATTCAAAACACTTTTGGCTTACAGCTATTTTTATAGAAGCAAACTGCATTTATATTCTGTACCATCAGACCAATTTTAAAAAGCCTTTTTTTGTTCAATGTTTGGACAAGGGTTTTCTATATTTTGTCAAAGAGGAAATTTCAGTGTGAACTTGGATCATTTATGCTCAACTCCAAACTCATTTTTTTTTAAAAAAAAAAACAAAAAAAAACTGCTCAATACACCATAACCTTTTGAATTCTAAAGTGGACTGCCAAAGATTTGACTTTCAAAACACAAAATCTAATTAAACCCGGTAATGAGTGATCATTACCGGGAGGAAAAGACCAATTTTCTCCCCTCACAAACAGATTATTCCCATTTCATTCGTCAAGACCCTGCATTTGATCCCATGATGTCTGTCTTTGACCAGTTTCAGAATTACCCACTTCATAGATAATTGAGAAAAGAAAGAATTTGCATGGTTCAAGAGGGATCAAAATTAATTAAGAAAACAAAATTATTAATTATATGTTTGATGTCGTCTAAAAGGGAATGTTACCCAATTCAAAGCACATAAGAATGTAACATCCAGGAAAAAAATTATAAAATTATCCTTCCTGTCCTTTGAAATTAACTCGCTCGTGTATATTTATATATATATTTATATATATGCACAGAGCGAGAGAGAGAGAGAGAGAGAGAGAGAGAGAGCACAAACCCTAGAACATGGCGCCCACCATCATGAACGGCCTGAGAAACAAGACCCATCAATCCCACGCTCCCTCCTCCATAGACCAAATCAATCCTTCTCTCCACCTTCAATAAACAGACATCGAAAACCAAACCCATTAACACGTGCTCTACACACAATTATAACTCTCATACAAACCCTATATATAAACACACATATATATGTATATTACAAACATATAGCAGCAACCCATAAACAAAAATCATGAAGGTTTTTCTAGAGAAGGTGCCCGTGTAAGGTGTCATTATACCCGAGGCAGCATGTATGTTAATTTTTTTATGAGTGCGTTAAAAATTCTTTCTTTAAGATGGAGATAAAATAAAAGTTCTTAAAAAAAATGGAGAAAAAAATAATTATTAAAATGGAAAACAAAACTAAAACCACCACTATCATGCAAGAAGGCTGCTCGACTGACAGGCAGGTTACAGCTAGCAATCCCTCTTCTCTCTTTCTCTTTCTCTTTCTCTTTCTCATGCTATAAGCATAAGCCATAAGCGATAAACCCTAAACCTTCTAATAAGCTTAATTTCAGCAACAATAATAAGCCCACGTTGACAGCCAAACAGCTGGTTCCACACAGCAATTACACACCACACACCCACTTGACAATTTACCCAGAGAAAGAAAATGTTTTGATATTTTTTCGTTTGGAAGAGGGAACATGTTTTGATTCTCTTCTCTGCAAGTTCATGACAAGGAAAGTACAGAGATGAGAGAGAAGAAATGGTGTCAAATCGCACTAAGTCAAATATATATAATCAAAATTAAAGGTTGCACCATTGACGCAGTAAAAAAAAAAATTGAGAATTTTGGAAGGTAGAGAATACTCTTCCCTTTCTGTTGACGATATGTACATGTTTGGGCTTTTTATATATGTAGAAGGGCTCTTGAATAAATGCTTATTAATTACTTCCCACCGGGGTTTTATTAAAAACTACGTCGTTTTGATCCTCTAAACTTCGCGAAACAAAGTTTTCCAAGTTTAGGAGATGACAAATTCTATTGTGCAAACAAACCGTAACACGTGATTAGTAGACAACAAGTTGTTTGAGTTTGTTTTTAATTCAAAATATTATTATAAGTAATTTTTTGAACATTAATTTCCGAAATATATATTCAAAAATGCGAATAAATTTAATTCAAATACAGTATTAAACACGGAGTTAAACCCTAATTAAGTTTAATAATTAACTTAAAACTATTTTATTAATCTTTCTTCAAGTAAAACTTAAACTGACTCGAGGAGAAGCGAGCGCATGGGGATTAAATGGGAACGGCTGCATTAAATTCCATACGAGGTTTAGAATTTTGTATAAACCCATTTTGTCTTCCCTACAGGACATGCAGCTCACGTGTAAAAACCCCAGTATTTTGGATGCGCCGTGCGCCTGCCTTGGGTTGAAAAGCCTGGAGATTAATTAATTTGTGATTAAGAAAATTACTTTAGTATTATACTAATAAATTAATTAATAAATAATAATTGTACAACTGTTCTGATTAGTAGGTTTTAATTAAGACCTGCTTTGGTATATGATTCTCACCAAATTTCATCAAATTAATTAACGTTTTATTTTCTTAGTAGATTTTCTTTTTTCCTTTTTAATATTTAACATTTTTGTTTTCTATAATTGGATCTTAACTCACCTTTTTTTTTTAATTTTAATATAATAATGCTAAAATTAGTTCGAATTTTATTTTATTCTAATAAAAGAAAAAATAGAATAAAAAATCTTAAATAAAAATATTTTAAATCTAAGTGAATTCTACATTCGACTAAAGTTAATAAATTTATATATTTCATAATATATATTTATAATTATAAAATGAAATATTTGAGTAACATAACAAAGAAAGTCTCGTATAATTTGTACAAAAAATAAAAATAAAGTAGTTTATTAGGGTATTAGTAAATTCGAATAATTGTAAATATAAATTAAATTTTTATATATATATAATTATAACTATTACATTGAGTTTTTACTTTTATATTTTAAGATCCATAAAACTTTATCTTTGTATAACACATATACATATATATTTATAACTAATGTTAATATATATATAGTTTTTATGTTATTTGTATATTGATGCATGAAACTCGTGGCAGTCCTCGAGTTATTATATACATATGTGTGTGTGTGTGTGTGTACATACACCCAAAAAATAGACAATAACTTACAAAAACGTGTTTAGTAAACATAAATCGGCCACCCTTTCTCATTTGGCGATACGCTAATCTTAATTTAATATACTAAACACCTTTTCTTATTTTTATTATCCATAATTTCATTAATAGTATTTATTTCCAGTATAGTTTAACGTATATAATAAAAATAAATATCTTAAATAATTTTAAGTAGAGTTGAGATAATATATTTTTAAAAAATTTCCGGTTAAGCCATGAGTCCACGTGGCAGGTTTACAGGTCCAGTAAATAGATGAGAGGAAAAAGGCTGGGCCTGAATTTATGTTGGGAAATGGGAACGCAAAGTGATCATTCATCCAGGGGCGTGTTTGTCAGTACAAAATAATCATTACGCTTTTGCTTGAATTATGCACTTTGATTGATTTGATGTCAGTTTCATTTCATTGTTCGTCCAAACACACCTTGATCGCATCACTCCACCAATCATTATCCGACACGTGTTCTTAAATCATCCCTTGATGTTCTCTTTCTGATCAGCACTCATAGTATTGGCCGTACCTGATTACTATTCCAACTACCCCTAATAAATGAAACTAATTAAACGGAAAGGGATAGAGTGATAAGAGTGACAGTGTATAAAAAAAAAAAAAAAGAAAGCCATGGAAAACACCGACCGAGCTTCCTAGAAGAACGAAGAAAAATATGACAGAGATATATACACACACCACGTACGATTCGAGTGTAAGAAACAACACGTGCGTAATCAAAGCAGCCGGAAAGATTTAAACGACAGCGACAGACACATTAAACGCAAACACACGTAAAAACAGCCACTTTTCAGCATGTGGCCTTGCCTGCAAATCAATCCCAACTTCTCCTCGCCATTTTTCTTCTATTTATTATTTTTCGCTTTCAAGATGAAGAAAGATTTTTTTAAGTACTGCCGACAGTACGTATCAGGATGCCACGTCATCATGTGAATGATGACGTGGATGGACGGTGAGCCGTCGGATGCAGCAGACAAGATGGGTGGACCAGGAGGCAGAGGAGATTAATAGTGTGGAGCCCAGAGGAAGACACACGTGCGACAAGCCGCCGGCAGACAACCGACGCGACCGGAGACCAGACCAGACACCATTTCTACTCATACATATGTAGAAAGAGAGAGAGTGTAGTAGGCGGAGGAGGAAGAAAGAAGATAATTAATGGGAAAACTGAGTCAGGCTCATCAGGTTCATGGGGTCTCGAGATTTGCGGTGCTCTGGACAGAGTCAAGAGACACGATGGTAATACGTCTTATACGCTGTCGTTTTGACGGCCACTCCCGCTAGTTGCTTTACTTCCATCCCAACTACTGTTGCATAACTGTTACAGTTACTGGTTCAACTGTTCTACTGTCCAGTTGTACTGTTGGAGTCTTGAGTGGTCGGGTTGCTTGTTAGACTTTGCCAATGTCAAATTTATTTTGAGATTAGGTTTTTATTATTAATTAATAGCACATATATATTCTTTCTATTACTATAATAAATTTAAACTATATTTTTAAATAAAAACGCATAAATAGTAGAATAAATCAATTAAATTAAAGATTAAAAAATTTATAATATAATTGGCAAATCTAATAATTCTTTTATGTATTGATATTAAATAATAAATCACAAAATAACGTACTTAAGATCATTTTATGATAAATTAACGTGGGGTCTGGGACGGCCGTATTAATTTTTGGCTTACATATGGCTCTTGCAATAGTGTCGTCAGCGTGATAGCTTTTTAATTATTTTTTTCTTAATTAATCTTGGAGTTTGATTATATTTTTGTTTAATTAATAAATAATTATATTTAGAGGTTCTTTTAATTTTTTTTTTCTTTTAAAGACAAGAAGGAAACAAAATATTTTATTTTATGTAATTATGAAGCAAAACAAAATCTGAATTCCAAACACTTTAGTTAAAGAAGTCGGTCAAATTAAAGTTAATTATTGGATTTATGGGTTACAACAATTAGAATGTGTAGGTGAAAATCAAATTATGTGAACTCTATGTCGATCGGGCATTTACGTGCCAATTTTGATAAATGCCATAATATTTTATATTTTAAATTAAAAATTTTATGGTACTTAGTTAAAAGGGTGATTTAGTATATATATATTTTTTTAATTTATGTACTAAAATTCTGACAATTGAATTTAAAAATTTCATTTTATATTTTTTTTAAATTAAAAATTAAAAATTAATAAATAATAATAACTTGTTATGTCTATTTTAAGTATCAGTTCATAAATATCTATTAGATAAGCAAAAGTTAATTCTAGTTAACACATTTAAAAAAAATGACAAGCACAATATTTTAATAAATTTATGATCATATATAATTACTAAAATTAATTTATAAGTTATGTCACGTCTTATATATTTGTATTTATTATTATTAAATTATGCACACAGAAAATGCACGGAAGACCATAAAAGAAACAAAAGTAATTTAAATGATTATTTATAACATTTCGCACATGACAACTTCATAATTTATCTTGAAAAATGTTAGTTCAAATATCTCCATCAAAATTTATGGTCATTTCAAGAAATAATATAATGTTTGCAACTGGAATATATATATATATATGTATACATATATGGTTTGAACTTGATTAATTATATAAAAAGTGGATCCCGTACGACCCCAACAATTAGATTGAAGTATATCCTTTGCCAAATTCACTGTCTATATATGTATATATATGCAACAAGTTGGTGATTAAGCATTTTGTGATTGTAATTTTGCAATGTGTAATCCCAATTTAACCTTATTTTTTGGCATTTACTTTATGAGGGATGCTTGATTTGGGTTGGATTGTCGGGTCATGAGCTTGCACATTGAACTGGGTCACATTAAAATTTGTCATTTTATTTTATTTTTAATTGGGTTGAAAATTTGGGGGGTGTGTTTTGGCAGCTTTAGTAAAAAAATTTTGATTAGAATTTTAAATGCGAGATTTTGTGTATAAAAAAGTTCAATCAATAAGATTTTTGAAAGGGATAACAAAATCCCAGTTGGTATTATTCTCTTTCCAGAGGGCAGCAACATACGGCCAAGTGACCAATTGACATCATGTGTGAGCTTTTCAAAATTTTTTTTTTTTTTTTTGGAGGGGGGATGGACAAAATTGAAGTCGTTTTGAAGAATAATCAAATGGGTATAATAGAAATTTGTTGATGTATAGTTTTTAAATGATTGAGATTAATTAATCTTAATTATTGATGTACTTATACAACAATCACTAATCATAAATATAGTAGACTACCCATAAATAATAATAATAATAATTATTGCTTGTGATAGAAATATTTATTAACAACAAACTATAAGGTCTGAGTTTATACTTATAACCCTAATTATAGTTGTTTCTTTTAAACGAGACCATTGTATATATTTAATTTTCTTTAAGTTAATTTGAATAACTTGGATTTTTTTGGAGTTCCATCTTAATGAACATGATTTTCAGTATCTTCACAGATCTCTTAGAATCTATTGGGTGTTCTTATAAATGGTCAGAACTTGAGCTGTCATTGAAATCTTAATCTCATACACATACATATACGTATATATATATATATATATGTATGTATGTTCCTAGTAACTAGGATTTTAAACAAATCAAGTTCCCGTTTATCCTCTTAATAAAATCAGATTCTAACACAAGTCATGAGTTGGCAAGCAATCTAAGGTATAGGTTATATTTTATAGTACAGAATGAAGTGTGTGTGTGTATATATATATATGTATATATATATATATATATAAGAATTCTGAAATTGTTTAATGTTGGTTGAAATGGGATTAGATTTATTAAAAAATAAAAGTTGATAGATCGAATATTTCAGATTGATTTGAAATATGTAAATTGTGCTTTTGGTAGGCAGCTGGATAGTGGGATGATGGATCATTTCATTGCCTTTCAAAACATTTCATTACCTACATTCTTCCATTAAAGTCATATACATTTTCTTTTTCTATACACACACACACATGTATATATATATATGTATATCTAAAGGTACATTACCTTTTAAACTTCAAGTCAAACTAGACTGGTAGGTGAACTACTTTCTTTTTTTTTTTTTTTTTCTTTTGGTTATGAACAAACTCTAAATTTGAAGGAAGGTTCGAAGAGAGTATAAAGTTTTTCATCATGTGATCTATTAATTTTTAGTAGACTAATAATTTAATATTATATTATCATGTATAAATAATTAATAAAATTATTAGTTTGATTTAAATCTACAAATATTTAATGCACGCTTAAATTAATTTCACTTATATTTTACATTATTATTATCATAAAAAAAATAATGAACTCTTAATTAATTAAGATGAAAATGGGCTTTTGGGTCCATCAATTTTAGGCTTTACAATTATGGGCTCGTTCAATACAAGCCCACAATGGACATTGAATTGTTTTAACTGCCTCTAAAGCAAAAGCCTTCCATGCTCGTGGACCCTGAATTTTAAATCCCTTTTAATTTTGTCCCCTTCAGTATCAACTACTCATATATTATATTTATGTATATATATAGGGTTCCACATATTAATTATATCCTGGCCCAAAACCAATTGGGTTTTAATTATGTGTTTAAGTTTTTTGGGCTATTGGGTAGAACAAATTCAGAAATTTATTTTTAATCAATAATGGATTTAAATATAGACTATAAAAATTGATTTTGTACGATATTTCGTGTAGAAATTAGAATAAGGTGTTATGTTTTTCATTAATTTCCATAAAATTTATAACATAACATATTAAGATTTAGTAAAAGTAATGTAACGTAATATTTTGGTTAATACCAAATAATAATTATAGTGAGACGGAGGTCAAGGAGAGTCATTATAGATGGAGATTATGAGGCGCACGTGGCTTCCAATCCCCGAGACTCACGGGACAATCTCAACGCCCCGCTCCTCCACTTTCACGAGCCCTCGGCTTTTTTAATTGTAACCGCACCTCCCTCTAAATTACCCACCCAAATCACATGCCTAATTATCATTAACTTACTAATATACATTATAACTTTTTAATATTTTTGCTTAATTCGTATTAATTAATAATAATTAAGTAAATTATAAATCCAGTTAATACTAAAAATTCAGGCCAATTGGTCCGATCAGGCAGGTCCTAATTTGGGTTGGCAACAAAATAATAATAAAAATATTTGTTAAATCCTTACATTAATTGTGTAATGTTAAATAATTTATCATTGATGTGTTTATAAACTATTGTTAAATTTTTATTAAATTAGGTCTCAGTTTCGTCCAATTTGATCGAATTTTGGACCATTAATTAATTAATTACAATAAAATTTGGTGTACGTGAAAGCAGCGGAATATTTCTCCTCCAGCGTTACGCCAACTGGCACCGTTTTAGCCGGCTCTTTACGCCAACGGTTAACGTGACTTGGTCTCAATCTCATTTCCTGGCTGCTTCTGTTTCCCACATCGGTGCTTTTTGTACTTTTGTCAATTTGTTATTTAGTCCTTTATTCTTTGCAAAATTGCATAAATGCCCCACTTTTGCCCC